AGTCTCATGTGTATCTTTAGCCTGACTTCAGGTTGTGACCAAAGATGTTGACAAACCCTTGAGAAATACTATGAAGTTAACTAGACACCTTATAACTCTTTCAAGACAGATAAAGTGAAAACAACAAAGTAATGGAAGTCAGCCATGGTTTTTGATTGGAGCATGCAGACTTTGGGAGGAGGCAATAGTCAGGTGGTGGTGTGACCTAAACCGTGCATGTGAGCTACAAGATCAGTCTCTTTTTATGGCGCTCACTGTGTCCTATCCAAGTATTGCAGTTAACAGTCTCTTCCTGTCCACCAGTGAGGCAGGGCAGTAAGGCACTTTGGCAGATTGCCATTCTACAGCTTACATCTAACAGGCCCACCAGCATGGTGAACTCTGATTCTCTTGGCCTTAATTTCAAACTCCCGGAAAAGAACCCGATTGACCAAATAGAGCAGAATGTGTTCCTGGTGCCCAGTGGCCTGCTTAGCCCATTCTGGCTTTAGCTGCCACTGTACAGGACAGTTCCCATAAGACCTGACAGCTTCCCATCGCAAAGCCCAGTTGTAGCATTTCTGCATCAGGGCTTCCACTCGAAGCTTCCTGTAGCTCAGTGGTGTTGCACACAGTGCCGGCTGGCATTGCAAAGTGGAATGGGGGGAGTTACCATCCCTAGCAGCAACCTCCAACTTGCAGAAGGAAGGAGATAACTCAGAGGGACAATTCTGAGGTGTATTCTATATGTTCCTGCTTAAGTTCTCAGTGGAACTGAGCTCCTAAAATCAGGACTTTGTTTTTCTTCCTTTCTTCTCCCCCTGTCTCTCCACATTTCTACTCTGGTTATATAATTACTTCTCACCTGCACCAAATTCTTTAGGGAGTATGTGAACTAGATGTCCAACACAGGTCACGTGACCACTCCTGAACAAAGGCAGAAACAGGGCTGCCTAGAGCTGCCCCAACATATAAGGACAGGTGGAGGGAGGCCACTATCAGAATGACCCTGAAGGACTGACCATCTGAAGGTTTTGCATAGAGGCAGTTCAGAATGTTTCCTACAAATAAGTCATAACTTTCCTTTAAGAAATTTTCTGAGTAGTTTGATTGCCTTGGGAATATAATTTATTTTTTCCATTTTATCTTTTTGGTGCTATAATGGGAGGTTAATTATTTTAAAATATCTACCTCTCAGATAGCCTCTCTACTGAGCTCTCATTAATTCTAAGCACTGGCTCTACCTTGGTTCAGATCATCCTTATCTCTTGCCTGAATTAGTGACAGACTGATACCTGGGCTCCTTTTTCCCCAATCTCATACTGCCTCCAATCTGTTTTCTACCCTGAAGCAAGTAACTTTCCCCAGTTACAAATCTGATCATGTCACTACCTGGTTTAAGTTACCTAAAGATTCTCATTGTAATTGTGCTCAATTTCTTAATGCTAGTGTGGATCTCTACTACCTGAAGTGATCTGGCACCTTCCAGTTCTCCAGCTTTATCTCCCACCTGTTTGCCTCTTACTTCTTGAGATCCAGATGCCCCAAACTTTTTTAAAGTTCATCTACAAGAACTTGTTTCCTTTTTATCTCCAAGTCTCTGTCCCTGCTGGTTCCGCTGCAGGGAATATCTCAATCCTTTCTGCCGTGGCCTTCACCTAGCCAACAGCTACTCACCTTTCAGGTTTTAGCTTGGGCAAAACTTTCCCACCCCAAAGTGTACCACATATTGCTCTACTGTCTCATCCAGTGACAGGTAGTCAAAGTCAAAAGGATGTAAGAAGCAGACACTGTACCAAAAGTTGGACAGGGAGAGGGAGGGGAAGGGTGAGAAGAGTATTTCCTCATTTCCAACTGCAATCTGGGTTACCGCCTCATTTGGGGAACACTCAAAGCTTATTTCATTCGTTTATTTGTCCCGACTATGGGTGTAAGCAACCACATGCACATTGAGTCATGTGAGAAGCAGAATGTGCTGAAGGAAAAGGACGTAACCTGGGGCCCCCTAAAGTAAAGCAGGACATCAAACCAGTGACTGTCTTGCTTTGTTCAAGTCTAATAAGCACTCAGAATATTCATAAGCACTCAGAATATTCTAGTCTACTGTTTTCAAAGTGTAGTAAATGAATGATCTGTGTCAGAATTTTCTCAAGATTTTCTTCCTAAATCAGAAAGAAGGGTCCTGGAATCTGCACTTTAAAGTGGCACTGAAGATTTGGATTCATATTCAAAAAGCACATAATTCTGACACTGCGTTGGATACCAGAGGCCTCACACTGAACAAGCCGAGCAAGGCAGGTGGCTCCTGAATTCCCAGCATATTTATGTGTGTGTGTGTTTGTAGGGGCGGAGGGGAGCGCAGCTGATTCCAATAAGGTGATACGGGTGCTAGAATAGAACCAGGGAGATCACATAGCAGATGCACCCAGACCGGTCGGGGAAATTTTGCAGGAAGGGCATCAAAGCTTAATCTGGAGGCCCGACAGCTCTGGAGAGAATTCAGTACTTCAGAGACTGCTGGGAGTGGCCAGGTGCTGGAGAGTAAGGTCAACGGCGGCCATGAACGAAATGACTAGAGGAACAGTGTGGAGTGAGAAGCAGACGAAGAATCGAATTGTGAAGGAGCCCAGACCACCCCAGGCCTCCTTCCCCAAGGTATAATCTAGCATTGCCTTCGCTGGCCATCTCGCGCTCCGCGGAGCGAAGGCGACGCCCAGGGCCAGGACTGCGGAGCCGCGCGCCCTGCGCCACTCACCTGGGGACCGCCGCGCAGTCCGCAGCGCCAGGAGGGCGGGGCGCCACGGGGACCGGCTCCGCCCCTCCGCGCCGCCGCCGGGAGACTGCGCAGGACGTGCCACCCTGCGCAGTGACGTCAGCGCGCCCAGGCGCGCGGGGAGGAGTGTGATCTGCGGTCTGGGAAGCGCGGAGCCTCCGGTAACCCCGGCTGGATCCGGGAGAAGAAGGGGCGGGGCAGGGAGCCCCCTCCAGAGTGCTGGGTCGCAGTCTGGGCCTGGACCTGGTGCCCTAGAGCTTCTCCACCAGCTGCTTCTCCCAGCAGGCCCCGCCCCGCCCGCCAGGGCGATGGAGTTTCCGGACCTCGGGGCGCACTGCTCTGAGCCCAGCTGTCAGCGCCTGGGTGAGGGGGCGGAGCACCTGGGGGGCGGGGCCGGCGGAGAGGAACTTGGGGGTGCAGGTGGGGCAAAGAGTGGGCTTCCGGGCTGGAAAGGCCTGGGGGGCGGGGCTCCAAGTTGGGGGCGGGGCTGAGGGGGCGTGGCTACATAGGTAGTGAACTTGCGTTGGGGTGCAGTTTGTGGGATGAGTAGGCTGATTGATCGTTACCTTCCTTGAATGGAAGGCTTGAGTGACCCGGGGCGTTGTTGAGAGCCTACTGGACTTACAATCCGACCTATTTCCTGCAGATTTTCTGCCTCTGAAGTGTGACGCCTGCTCTGGCATCTTCTGTGCAGACCACGTGGCCTACGCCCAGCATCACTGTGGATCTGCTTACCAAAAGGTGCTGGGGCGGTGCTGAGGGTGGAGGATGCAAGCAGAATCCCTCAATCTCTCTGCTTCTCTTTCCCTCTCCTTGACTGTCTTTCTGAGGCTCAGCAAGAGCTGGAAACATTGTGTTTGTGGGGGTGACATACTCCTTTCAGGACCAGAGATTTGATTGGGCTGGGATTGATTAGAGATTGACCCTCTGCTCCTTAACTATAGGACATACAGGTACCCGTGTGTCCACTCTGTAATGTTCCTGTGCCTGTGGCCAGAGGGGAGCCCCCTGATCGTGCTGTGGGGGAGCACATTGACCGAGATTGTCGCTCTGATCCAGCCCAGCAGAAACGTAAGGTAAGCATTGGCAAGGTTAGCCATAACCATCTGGATCCGTGGAAACCTGAACAGCTATGATGGGGTTAGAGTTTCAGGTGAGACAAATCTTCTCATTCTACCTCAGATCTTCACCAATAAGTGTGAGCGCTCTGGTTGCCGGCAGCGGGAAATGATGAAACTGACCTGTGAACGCTGTGGCCGAAACTTCTGCATCAAGCACCGTCACCCACTGGACCATGACTGCTCTGGGGAAGGGCATCTAACCAGCCGGTCAGGGTAATGGCATCCCAGTCCTCTGCCTTTCAGACTTTCCTGCCACTGCGGGGATTGACTCAGCCTCTATCATTAAAAGTTGGAGAGCTTCAACTCTGTCCCCTTTGACTCGGAGAGTCTTGGATGCCTTTTCAATTATGTACTTTTTCAGTCTGTTTGGAGGGACTCTCTCTGGGCTTCCTGGGGAAGGAAGCATACTGTTTGCGCTTAGAGGCATGCCGCGTGTTTCTTCCCCGCAGACTTGCTGCTCTCACCAGAGCACAGGGTTTGGCTTCTGCAGGCACCATCTCCAGCCCAAGTCGGACCTCGCCTTCATCTACCTCTCCCAGCAGGTAGGCCTGCCCATTTTTCCTGCCTCTTTTCCCCGTTTCCACCTCAGACCTCCAACCTCTTTAATATCTACCGTAGAGTTGCAGCCCCGTCTCCGTCGCGGACATCCCCACCAGTGATGGCTCTGCAAAATGGTTTGGTGAGTTGGGTAGAGGTTGAATGGACAGAAGCAGATGCACACAGAAAGCAAAGTCCAAGGCAACCAGTCTTCTTTCTCCTTTTGCAGAGCGAGGATGAGGCTCTGCAGCGAGCTCTAGAGCTTTCCCTGGCAGAAGCGAAACCCCAGGTCCCAAGGTACCTACTCTCTTGTAAAAGAGGGTGGGATATGGGCAAGGATTCAATTTAGAGGGACGTCGGTGGGAACACTCCCATCTGCTGCAGGATAATAGTCAGGAAATTGGGCTCACGGTTAAGCTTCTGGACACTATGACTTCTGACAAGTTCTTGAACCTGCTAAAGCCTTAATTTCCTCCATAAAGTGGGAATAACACTAGTAACTTACCTTGTAGGGTTGTATGACAGTTGAAATAATACAGAAGTGCTTAGCACAGGTTGGGTGCCACACTTTTGATATTATTCTCATCTAACTTAAGCTGTTTTTCCCAGTTCTCAGGAGGAAGAAGACTTGGCTTTAGCACGAGCACTATCAGCCAGTGAGGCAGAATACCAGCAGCAGCAGGTATGAGGATGGGATAGAGATGGGGGTCCAGAGTTGGGGGCAGGGGGCTGGGAATCTGGGGGCAGTGGGAGATGTTTGGGAATGGTGGTTATCCTTTTCGGCATGAATGCAGCCCATGCTAAGCTCAGAAGTGAGGACAGTGTCCTCAGTTCCTTGATGTTGCCCTGTCTTCCCCTCTCCCTGCTCCAGGCTCAGAGCCGCAGCTTGAAGCCGTCCAACTGCAACCTGTGCTAGGGCCCTGGGCTTGGGGAGGGAGGCTCTGCTGAGAGGACTGTGGCCCTTACACCCCTGGGGTCCACAGGGAGAGGAAGCCCAGAGCAGCCGGGAGTGAAGACCAGGAGGACCGATGAGGAGGAGCCTCCAGGGAACATCAGTAGGAACAGCTGGTGGAATTGAGCTTACAAAGGCCCTGCTGGCTCGCTGGCTCGTGGGAGAGCGTGGTCATGAACAGTCCCCTGGTTGGGTCCTGGGAGGGGCTCGCCAGGCCCGCACATTTCTCCCCACACTGGAGCTGCTCCCACGTACAGGGAGCAGGAAGGGGCTTGGAAAGAATAAAGGATCTTGGCAAAGACATCCAAGTGGTGTGCTGCTCTCCCTCCGCACCCCCAACAGAAGAGTCCTGTGAGATGCTCATCTGCCCTCGAGAGAGGGGCCATTGCAGTAGCCTAAACCACAAAGTCACAGTGATCCTAGCACAGTCCACATTTTTATTCCCCCAAAAAGGGTTTTCCCGAAAGATCCCTTTCCCTCGCGATAGCTAGCACCATACCCGAAGACCAGGTTAAAACATGCCAGGGAAGAGGGATAGTTTATTCCCCTCTTGAGGTATCCTTTAGGAGGGAAGTGCCACAAGTTTTGTTACTGTTAGCCGGGCTTGGGATCTTCAGAGACCTCCTTCTGTCCTCGCTGCTGCAGCTGCCACATGTCTGCGTACACCCCGCCTCGGGACAGCAGAGCCTCGTGCCTGGGGCAAGAAGGAGTGTGAGTCCAAATTCTCAGTTCTACCCCAGAAGCCCTCACGACAACTCACAGAGATGACGGGACTGGTGAGGAAGATCCCATCCAGGAACCCCTGGGATTTCACCACCATTTGCTGGGGTGCCCAACTCCAAGGCCCTGCCCCATTCATCCTGCTGTGCCCCTTACCGTCCTCTTTCCACAATGTAGCCATCCTTGATGACGAGGATCTGGTCAGCATTGACCACAGTTGAGAGCCTGAGAAGCCAAGAGATCAGTTACCCACATCCCCCTCAAAAGTGTGGCTGGCCCCCGCCTGCTGCTTGGGGCTGTACCTGTGTGCCACTATGATGGTGGTGCAGGAGGCGCAGACTCTGGCCAGAGAAGCTTGGATGGCCCGTTCGTTGGATGTGTCCAGCGCTGATGTGGCCTACAGAGAGGGTCTGGGTCAAACAGCCCCTGCCACCCAAAATCCCCAGAGCTGAGGCCTCAGGACTAAAAAAAGAACTTATCTGAGCTTGGGAACTGTAAGGTGTTTCTGTTAAACACAGATTCATGAGGTCTAGCCTTGGTAGAGAATCATGCCTGATGGGCCCAGCATGGGCACAGGCAGGAGAGGGAGGGAGGAGGAGGCCACCTGGGTCCCTTACCTCATCCAGCAGAATGATGTCTGGAGCCTTGAGAACAGCACGTGCGATGGCCACACGCTGCTTCTCCCCACCGCTCAGCTTCAGCCCCCGTTCGCCCACCTGCGTCTCATACCCTGTGGACGAGGACAGTGCACACCTTCCTCAGGTCACATGGAATAAACTTGGCTTCCGTGGTCAGAGGTCGGGGGAGAGTGACAGGACTGAATGGGGCAGGGCTAGAGTCCACGGGGAGGTGCACCTTCAGGGAAAGCCAAGATGGCCTCATGGATGCCGGCAGCCTTAGCGGCAGCCTCCACCTCATCATTCCCAGCTGTGACACGGCCATAGCGGATATTGTTGGCGATGGTGTCGTTGAAGAGGACGGTGTCCTGGGGCACAACTCCAATGTGAGATCGGAGAGAGTTCTGGGTCACCTGGGGCCAAATGACCAAAATGCTGACCAGTGAGGAATCCCAAGTAGGAATCAAGCCACCACTCCTCTCCCCCAAGTCCTAACTGTGTGGGCAAGTCACTCAGCCTCTCAGCCTATGTCCTCAGCTATAAAGAGAAAATAAAATGCATTCTCTCCCTGCCTCCCTGAATCACCATCACAGATCTTCCTACCTTGCACAGTATCCTACAAATTATCCTGATTACTGGCATAAGTCAAACGGTGCTAGGAAGGTTGAAGCCTCTGACTTCAACATTTTGCAGGGGTGATAGCTCTGTCTGCTCTCCCTGGAGGTGCAGCACCAGCCATTCTTTCACACTTAATCCCTAAGTCAGGCTGCTCCTAAGCAACCTCACCTGGGAAATATCCTGCCCATCTATTCGGATGCAGCCAGAGTTGACGTCATAGAAGCGAAACAGCAGGCGCAGTATTGTGCTCTTCCCTGCGCCAGATGGGCCCACCTGTTGCATTGGGAATAGGGAGAACTTTCTCAGGCCTGCTGGCTTTTAAGTTTTCAGCCCAAGAGGTCACCCATGGCCATGGAGACCGCCCCATTCGGTCCTGTGACCCATGAGGCTCTGACTCCACAGCTTGGGGCACCAGCCGTGGGCAGTGGAATGAGGTAAAGTGGAGGAGTCTGCCTCAAGTCGATCTCTCACCAAGGCGAGTGTCTGTCCAGCCATCACAGTGAAGGACACATCCTTCAGGGTCTCCTGCCTGCAAGAAAGAAGGTTAGGGTCAGCAGACCTACTGTACTCCTGGAAACCCTGCCAGCCCAGAGGGGTTACGGGGCCCTTCCCTCCCTCACTTGTCCCCTGCTCAGGTTTTCTTCTCAGGTGATATTGGGGGAACAGCAGGGAAGAGAAGCAGGAATGCAGTGTGTAACTGGACAGTGGGACAGGGCGCTGAGGGACGGTAAAAGGGGAGAGCTCACCCATCAGTGTAGCTGAAGTGCACATTCTCAAACTCAATCTGGCCCCTCTGAAGGTGAAGAGGCCCTGCCCCAGGAACATCCTTCACCTGGGAGAAGAGCACCAACATAAGCCTGTTATAGGTGTGGCTTGCTCTAAACGCAGGAGACACCATACATGGGCTCCTGCTCCCCTGAAGCCACACTGCTCTTCACTCACTTCTTTCTCCTCTTTCAGTAGGTCAAACATGTTCTCCATGTCAATGAAGTTGGTCTGGATCATCCTGCAAGAAGACACTGGTTGGGACTTCTCTGAGCTGGGGAAATGAGCCACTCCTGACAGGGGAAGGCCAGAGATCAGTTACCTGTAGTAGGTGCCAAACCAGTTGAGGGGCATGTACAGCTGGATGATGTAGGTACCAAAGAGCACAAAGTCCCCGACCTGTGCAGATTCAGGAGAGACCAAGTCAGACCTGCGGCTGTCACTGGCCCACTTCCTATCACCCATCGACTTCCCACCCAAGAGCTCCATGACCTAGATATAGGCCCCTCTTTCCTGTCCTCAGCACAAAATCCACACCTGCAGCTTCTGCTCACTGACAAAGTATGCACAAAGCAGGGAGCCAGCGAGGAGCCCAAGTCCAATCACCAGGTTCTGGGTCTGGTTGAGCATCACCAGCGAAGCACTTGACTTCCACTCCAAACCCTGAGGGCAGGAACATGGAAGGAAGGGACATCTCAGACTCACTGATCATCTCCAAACCCCAACCCGGGCCACCCCACATTTTATCCTCTCAGCCCTGATGGTTTCATGTGGCCAGGTCGCTGTTCTCAGCAAGCCTCCAACTAGCAGCCTCACCTGGTACTTGATGATGGCCTCTTGGTAGCGTTCCACTTCGTAACTCTCCGCGTTGTAATACTTCACCTGATGAGTTCAAACCACACTGACGCTGATGGAGCAGTAGGCAGCGGATTCTTTCTTCAGACTCCCAATCTCTCCTTTTAAACATCACACCTTGCACACTTCCCCACCCTCCAGCTCATCAGCCCTACTGGCACCTCACACCACTGCCACCAAGGCCCACGTTACCGTCTCAAAGTTTAGCAAAGAGTCCACAGCTCGCGCCCGGGTAGCATTCTCCTGCGTGTTCATAGCACGTCGAAACTTGGTTCTCCACTCAGTGACCACGATGGTGAGTGCTGCAGAGTGACCAGAGGAGGGGGAGGGAGAAGAGATCAAGACATCCTCCCCAGCGGCCGAGACTACATGTTTGATGTCTGCTACCTGCGACATACACAGGCCCGTCACTATAGCTTAGGTGCCAGATTCCCAAAGGAGAGTGCCCTGAGCTCCCTGAAGGATGTAACTGTTTCTAAGACGACTCTGCACCCTGCACAAAGCCTCACATGGTGAACCAATGCAGGTAAGCTGTGTCTCCTTACATGACCCCTTGACCCGCATCCCCTGCAAGCACCTAAGGTGACCAGGATGTCTTCCCAGGCGCCCCATCCAAGCTTAGTTGATGTGTACTTGGCAGAGGTGGCCCCCATCAGGTTGGGGAGCAGCAGGAACCTCTTCAAGCATACTGTGGTACAGCCTCGAAGCGCTGTGTCACTCAAGTGTGGCAGAGCTCATGACCAAGGGCGTCCCTGAGTTGTTCAGGGAAATGGTTTCGCTGGGCGGCACTCACAGAGGTAAAGACTCATGCACAGGAACACAATGAGGCCAAACCAGGCGTTGAAGAACATGCTGAAGTAGATGATGCCGATGATGATGTCAGCCAGAGTGGGGATGACGTTGAACACCAGGTAGCTGATGGGGAGTCAAGTGACAAAGACTCAGGGACTCAGGGCCACACGTCACCTCTGGAGTGTCAGTGGAGTGCTTTATTTTTAACACTAACAGACTGGAATCACTTCAGAGGTGGGCAGCCAGGTAAAGCGCAGCATGCCCAAACTACAGAGAGCCCAATACCAATTACCACAGTGGAGAGAGGGCCTCACACACGCAGGTGCATCCCCATAAAGACACTCCAGATGATACCTGAGGGAGTCGCGATACCACTT